GTTAAAGCAGAAACGTAAAAGAGTTTTATTTGAAAAAAGCTATTACCATTGAATTCCCAAATCCAGAAAACATTAAGAGGAAATTATGAAGACCCCAGAACTAGTTGAATTATTTTCAGCTGAGGAAGTATTAACCATTGTAAACCCATCATACGGTTCTATTGGGAACAAACTTAATGCCACCCCAGAACAAGATAAAACGATTTCAGCAGAATTATTTTCATCAATTGAATGCCACATCCTGACAGTAATAGAGAGGAAATCATGGCAACCTCAGAACCAAGTTAAAGAGCTTCATCAATAGAAGCTACACCTATTGAATGCCAAGTTCTTGAATTCAACGAGGAAGAAATCATGGTGAATCACAAGCTTCATAAGAGCTTGAATGACATTCATACCAATATTGATTCTTCTTATTCAGAGTCAAAAGACTCTGAAGACTCTGAAGATGACTACCCTAAGGTTTGTCGAAACGTCAGTCAACAACAACAAAAACAGTCCTTCTCAGGACTATACCAACCTGGACGATCTACATTTACAAACATGTAACGATACTCCCGGGTTCAAACCATTTAAAATATTGATTCTGGTACACATGATAATACCACCACCGCAGAAGGTATCACAGAGGATCATAATCTCCCGGAGGTAAATATGTGATAAATATAGTGCTTGACTCTTACATTTATTTTAACTCTTTTGCAATGTTCACCTTATGTATAAGGAAGTATGCTTCCAAAAAATTCATTGTCTCATCCAGTTCAACATAAGCATCAAACAAAGACAAATTTACCATGAAATTTTACCACCAAACTAGACAGAGGACTTCGTATATAATGAATTTCATAAATTTTGTTTGATTGCATTTGAAGCAAAAAATTTGGTTAAAATAAACGTAAACACAGATTTATTTTGTTAAATTATCAGTAAATTCATCCAGTTTTCGCAATCTAAGCATGGGAAAAATTGCCATCTAGAGCGCTTTCTTTCTGGCAAATCAGTGCATTCATGTGATACACTGTTGATATTATATGAGGCTATTGTTGCTATAGCAACAGCCATTTTTATACATCCCATATTCTATGCTATCCTATGATTTTAAAAATAGAAGTTGACTATTGACCACATTCGCGGACGAAAAGTTATCTAATAATCTACGACTCTAAAGACTCTAAACTGTGCTATATTTCATTGTAAAGGCTAAAATTTCATCTAAATATATTTAAATGAGTGAATTTAATTATTGCTTTTGCGATCACGCAGATACGGCTGTTTTGTTCATTAATAAAATGTCCAAGAAAGACATTTGTATCTGTGGAAAGTATATATTAGCAAACGCCTCCTGATTTTTTGCTTCCGTTCTTTATACTCATATTTTTGTACTCATATTGTTGGAGAAACAATGAAATATTCCAAAGAGCTTGATTATAATTTGGTAGAAATTTTTTTATGACAGAATGTGACAATGAGCAATAATGTGCATCTTTAGTTGTAATATTTTGTGATGATTTAGATTTTGATTGTCTGTATAACTTTTTATTGGGAGGTTGAGGATGCAGAGGAAAATTCTCAAGATGTCACCAGATATAAGTGAGTAATCTTTAAGTTATGAAATACATTTTCTTACTAATAACCACGACATGAATTGAAAGATTGGACATTCACAATTCACATTAACAAAATTACACTTTCCTGGTCATGTGGTGATGTGAGTAATTTGATACAACTTAAACCAATATTGAATACATGTTAGAGGAAAAATTGAAACATTTGTATTAAATTTATCTGTTTCATTTTAATATTATTTTAGACAAGAAGTGAAAGTTGTTTTTCGTGTTTAGAATGGTGTATGCAAACTTCAAACATGTTTGTGAGAACTCTCGAGCAGGAGCTGGGCTTGCACCAATCTCCTATCAAGTTCTCATAAAGGTCTTCATAGTGTGCATAATACAGTACAAACACAGTAAACATCTTTATTTCTTAAACCTAACATAACATGTCATAACATAACATAATTTAATATAGCATAATATAATCTTATACATCATAAAATAACATAATATATGAGATGATAAGATTTGATGTGACTTAATATAATATATTGTTGTACAGGTGATGTGTAAGTATGTTAAATGTGATTGGTTAATTCATTGTTACATGACTTAAAACAGTTGCAGTTGCTAGCTTATGATGACAAATACGAGAGCTATGAGGCCGAAAGCTAAAAAAAAATATTTCCTGCGTTTAATAAGTCATGAAATTCAGCTTTTACTAAAAAAAAGGATTCAGAAAACACTGTTTTTTAAAAACATAAATTTGCAACTGAATTTCTGTTTACGAAAGACGTTGATTTTATTGCAAAGTTGTCGAAATCTATGATCTTTGTCTCTATATAACAAAACACTTCGTCTCGGGAAACATTGGACTGACTTGAGGAATACAAAACTCGCTATTTGCCTCGGGAGCATACATTAACGCATTATACGTAATATAATATGTGTTTTATGTATTATGTTTCATTGCAGTAAATCAGGAAAAACTTGCACCTATGATTTGAACAAACCTTGTCGTGTTGCCTACAAACACGATACGATGACACCAGTTTTGTCATGGAGGAAAACTGCCTACCCAGCCAAAGAAATGGTCAGCCTTTTGTTGGGAGATTATTATGCAGAAAATTTATGTATGTCACAACCAATAAACGTTTCGAACAACGTGCCGGTAGGAAACCATCGAAATGAAAGCTCTCAAATTCTAAAGCCCTTTATATCGAAAAATATATCGACCCGCTTGATCTCCAAGAAAATGAAGACAACTTACCATTAAGCAGTCAATGTCAGTCGTATACTTCAAATGCTTCTTCGGCGATACCAACATCTAATTCCAATCAAATTATGCCACCGTTGAACACACGTTGTCATCCTTCTCAACTTTCACTATCTTTACGTCGTACTCCATCAAATAATCTGCAGCCGACTACTTCTCAACCCTCATTTATTCACCATGGACCATATGCTGCTTGGCAAATGCAAATGCAATCATCATCACGAGAGTGTGCGAACTAACAATCCTCACTACCAACTACGTTTCTGCAACAGCAACAAGCACAGATTTTTTCCCTTCAAAATTTGTCATACTTTTCCAACATCCATTCGGGATCACAATCATCTACGTATATTCGTGAGTCGACGTCTTTCTCATTAACTCCCTGTACTGTTTTCAGCAATAAATTCCATTTAAAATGGGTAGCAGGTACAACAGTATCAAAGTGTTATGGTTGTGGCAAAGGAATTACCAACTCTCCAGAAACATTGCCTAAATTTTTGATTATTGTTTATCGCAACTTTTGACAGTACGCCCATTGGGCGTATGGTAATTAAAACAAGACTTCAAAAAAGTTGTTGCAATTGTGTTACGGGGAATTCTTCTTACGCTTTAGGAGTTAGGGACTGATTACATGAGCGCGGGTAGCCGGGATTCAGCCAATCGTTAAATGATTTTGGCGAATGGAAACGATTCAATACTTATCATCAGATAAATCTTCTTGAGCAATTTGACAATATTCTGATTTAATTACTACGCACAACATTTAAAATTGAAACAATCAAATTGGTCAAATTTGAGAATTACAACAGGAATGAATTGCGGCATTTAACAAACAGTTTTGATTTTCAAATTTGAAGTTTTGCCTACTATCAATCTCTCGAAATCATTTCACGCCTCACTTAATTTCAACATCCGCTTAATGTTGCACTGGTGTCTCTGGAAAGTTTTCTTTTTTCAATTCTCACCTCAAAGCTGCAAATCCATACTACACATGAATAATAATGTATAAGTTACACTAATATTTTTTTATTGGTGGGAACAAAAACCATATATTTGTAAAACTTTTTTGAAGAGGTACGTGTGCCTTGTCAGCGCCACTTTGTGGGATAAACAAATTTTGCATTAATTATTATATCATATTCTGTATCAGTCTGTTTCTTAAAATTTGCACTTCTACACATGTTCATTCTATGGTTCTTATTTAAGAAAAAATTTCAAATGTTCTTTCTATGTTGTTTTATATAATTTAGTGTTGATCAAATACGGAATATAACAATTTTAAATCAAGAAAAGCTTATCTTCAGTCGTCAATTAGATTCTCAGTAGAAGCACTAATGGCGCAAGTGAACCGATGAAGCTGGTGAAAACACGATTGTAAAACTAAACAACTCAGTTTGGCGAGACTGCTCATAATGCCGTACAAAAATGTGGTCATCAGCGATATTTGCACTCTTTTCGTCCTCCGACAAACTCGTTTTTAGAGATTCCGACTTTAGTATTCCTGGTTTTTCCCAATTCCTATTATGTTCCCCGATACCCCGTTCCTGGTTTTAGAATTAGCCATACTGTGGTTATACCACTGAAGAGACGTGTGTGTAGTGGCATTTTTAGCAACACTTCGGATCCTAACTGCGTCATTCATGCGACAAGTTAAATAATATCTTGCACGAGTGAACATTTTCCTCAAGTGCGGTCGAGTCAAAAGTTAGTTAGTTGTCTTCTGCCATTACTAACTACAATGTAAACATTTTTACAACAAATTATTTCTTATTAGTGCGGACTAAAACCCCATCTATGAATTGATAAATATGAAAGTTTCGGCTAAGCCAGCGCCATTGTAGGCTGCAAGAATTTTGTCGACCGGAAAATCATCTTATTTGATGAGCATCTAATACTGGAACTACATACTGGCTTTATTTGTATTATGTAAAAAGTGCTAAAGTGTGTGCTTTATACGTAAATTGTTGAAATTGAATTCCTTCTTCCCTTCTCGAAATCAAAATTGATCTAAGTAATATGTGTAGATTGGGAAAGATTCTCTCATCCATAAATTTATAATCAATGACATATTAGTATTGATGTATTTTAATCTTGTATTTTCGATTAGTACCACCCAATCCCTAGATTCGTTACAGAGCTATCCGCTTTAAACAAAAAAAATAATAACAATAAACCTTCTTGTCTTGCATAGACGTATGCATGATGCCATTTGTTACTAAGCCTCACCACCACTCTTCGACCAATTTCACCATAACCCCAAACTATTGCCCGTTTTGGTGCTTGTTGCAATACCATATGATCACCATAGATAGTAGAAAAACGGAATGTATTGTGACCATAAGTGATAGAAACAGCAGTAAATACAAAAAGAATTGCGCAAAAGCAGCTTCTCAACATGGCCATTCTTCTCTTTGTCCAGCAAACAGTGGTTAAATAACTGTGAGATAGTCAGCTAGTTCTTTATATAATTATTTGCTTAGCTTTAGGTGCTTTTGTTCATAAAGGCTAATTTCCGTTTAGCTGCATTTTATGCTATAGCACAAAATGATCGCACTCTTATTCAATGAAGCAAGCGCCACTTAAAAGTTCAAAAGGTCAGTAGCACTTTTGTGCTCTCCAGCAAAGCGACAAAGTTGAATTCCTTCCACATTTAAGTGCTTTGTTTTGCTCTCAAACTCATCTTTCAAGATCACTACAAGCGGTGCCTTTCTCATTCAAAATAACTGATTTGATAGGAGTCCTATCCCTTCTTCTTCAACGAAGTAAGTCCGACAATTTTCCTCAATGCGTAAAATGCAGTTGTATAAAATTAGCCTTAAAAGAACATTATTAATATTTCATAGCTTTGCTTGTGAGAATAGTGGTCGATGCATTTTCTTGTTAAAAGTTATTAGCAGTCATCTGTTAGAATGAGCTGAATAATCATTAAATGGAACTTTCTACATTTATAAATAATACTAAACATGATTTCTCAAATTGTTTTCATCTTTGGAAAATACTAAACATGATTTCTGAAATTGTTTTCATCTTTGTGTTTTCGCATGAACACTTGCGGTGAACAAAAACAGGACATTACTATCACTATCATGATGCATACTAAGCATTGTTTTACAAAATATAACATATAGCTAACACCATACACCATATAATTAATACCAACAAAATACCTCAGACATATTGTAAAAGAAGTATTACTTAAAGAAACTTGAAAACATTTGAAACTGCTTTATGTGTGTAATGTTTTGTCGTATGGCCATGTCGGATGGCTGCCATTTCGTATGAAACACTTGTGACCGTGCATGTGCATCTCCTTACACTACTTTGATACAACTGTTTGATATGAGGTCCAATATATGTTGACACAGAAATGATTCATATTTGAATTTAAATGTTAAGAAAAGTTCTCGTTGAATCGGTATTAACACATCTAAACTCTAAACTCTAAAGCATGAATACACGCTAACACTTTTGACTTTTCCATTTCTAAATGCGTAGTAAATTTATATTTAATGGATAAAATTTGCCTGAAAGATCATAACGGTTGTAAGCAATCATCCATGCACTTGTATTGACTTAACTTAAAATAACTTAGTTAATTTGAGACTGGCTAAGTACATTATGATATAACAAGGTAAATAATTCAGCACTCGCAATGCAATTTATGGGATAACTTTTTACCTATAGTATAAACTATATACAGTTTTAAGGAGTTGCTGTTCAGGGGAGACAGACATCAACTCAAAATTGGCATAAATTACCGCCCTGATAGTAGTAGCAACTTTAAACACCGAAGAAATATTCTTATGAAGTTTGCAAGCTTGCTGACTTTTGGCGGAACAACCTTTTCTATTTTCTTGGGCTAGAATGTCAGGAAAATTTGATTATTCGAAATTACAAGAATATTGCACTATAAAGTTAAAAAATGCTCTTTATAAAGTTTAGGTTTACTGTTTTGTGGTCTTTTTGAAAAAATGATTCGACATAATGCGGATAATTAAACATTTGAAGGAGAAGAGCTACAGTCGTGATAAATTTATCTCTATGAGGCCACATTGATCCAAAAATACCAGAGAATATATTCATTCATTAGCGTCAAAATGACCAACATGCTGATATCAGCAACAGGATGGAATTAGTTCATATCGCTATTGAAACGAAAATAAGTGCAACAGTCAGAGACAAAACCTTAAGGAATAAAAATATATTTTTGCCATAGCATATAAACCTTTCGTGCTATTCAAATCGGTTATGAGCATGTTATATTATTCATATCAATAAGTTTGTAGTGATAATACAGTAAATTATAAAAAAGTATTTGGAGCATTTGATAATTTAATAAAGATCCCAGAAGGAACAAACATTGTATCAAATGTTCCAAATAAACAAAAACTTTAACTGAGCCCGCAAAAGAACAAATAAGCAAGCAGTGGTTAAATAACTGTGAGATAGTCAGCTAGTTCTTTATATAATTATTTGCTTAGCTTTAGGTGCTTTTGTTCATAAAGGCTAATTTCCGTTTAGCTGCATTTTATGCTGCATTTTATGAGATTGAAGAAATTGAACTGTTTCCTCGCATATAGCTGGAGAGAGTGATGACACGTTATCAAACTGTAGATGATACAAAAATTACGTTCGTCATCACGTGAAAATGCGACCTTTGCCCGACTTTGGTAAACATTTGATCTCATCAAAAAAACGCGGAATTTTTCCAAAGTGTTTTTACAACGGCGGTCTTGGAAAAATAAAACATGCTGTTCCCCTCAATTTTTGTCAAAACGTAATAATTATTTTACAGTGAGCGTAAACGCGTGACTGAAATTTGAGGTGAGCGACGTCAATAAATGTGTGTCGTGCAGAGTGTGTCGTGCAGGAGATGGACATGAACAGTTCTAATTACGAATTAATAATCAATCTGCAGTAAGCCGTTACTAATTTCTGTTCTTATACACCGCGTTGGCTGAGATTTCTATAGATGCACGGGCAATTATACTGTAGATGCACGGCGTATTATACCGTGCAACTTTTTGTTATTAGTTTCATATTATTAATTTCAATTTGTTGCTATTATCAATACAAACTTATTGATATAAATAATATAACACATACATATCCGATTTGAATAGCACGAAAGGTTTATATGCAATGGCAAAAATATATCTTTATTCCACAAGTTTTTATCTCTGACTGTTGTAGATAATAGGGTAGGAGGAATACAATGAAAGAATAAACATAAAATACCAATTTATTTGCGTTGCAATAGTGATATGAACTGATTCATCATGTTGATCATTTCGACATTGATGAATGAATATTTTCTCAGATATTTTTGTGTCAGTGTGACGTCATAAAGATATATTTATCACGACTGTCGTTCTTCTCCTTCAAATGTTTAGATATCCACATTAAATCGATGCATTTTGTCAAATTATTTTTTTTTCAAAAAGACGACAAAACAGTAAATCTTTACTTTATAAAAAGCATTTTTAACTTGATAGTGCAATATACTTGCAATTTCGAATAATCAAATTTTCCTGACATACTATAAATGACAAACTATCCTTTGAATTGCAATAATGTAATTAACCAGTCTAAAATATACTTATTTATCCCATGTTGATTTAATACAAGTGCATGGATAATTACTTAAAAGCCTTAGTCTCTTTCTGACAACAATTGTCATCCATTAAATATGAATTTACCAGTATAATCATGGTTTAGAGTATATATGTGTTAATACAGATTCAATAAGAATTGTCTTAATGTCAAATATGAATCATATCTGTGCCAAGATATATTGGACCTCATATCAAACGGTTGAGTCAGAGGTGCGTAGGATATGCACGTGCAGGGTCACAAGTAATTCATACGCAATTGCAGAGATCCCACAAATCTGTTCTTCTCAATCATGGGCGGATCCAGCTTCGTACATGAACTTAGGCACAATGTCGCACCGTTAGCGCGACTTTTCTAGGGGGGTCCAGGAGCATGTTCCCCCTGTAAAATTTTAAAATTGGATTGCAGAAAACTCTATTTCCTGCGTTTTTGCAGTTGATTTTCTAAAATATTTATAACTGGAGCTAAAATTCTTGCTCATAAATCATGAATTTTTGACCGTTCGCTCAATATCAGAGCTCATCAGCACGCCTAGGAAACTCGCAGAAAGTTATGCTTTTAGGGGTTCTGACATGGACGGCCTGGTTCATTACAAACTTAGCCTAACACAATTTTTTACGCTTCATCAACTTTTATATGGAGTTTCATTTTATAATGGTCAAGTCATACCTATATGCTGATTATTATGCAAAAGATTTTATGTCAATTTATCAAATGAAGTTGTAAACAAAAAAAGCAAAAGAAAGGTTTGTAGATGTCGGTCGTCCCGGTAAGTAAAGTCCTGAGAACGATTGTTTTAGTTTAAACTGACTGATGTTAGCAGCAGTCATCTTTATAGTCAAGAGTTAAAAAAGGCATCAAAAACTTTCACTCCTTACTAGAAAGCTAGTTCAATTCTTCTTTTGTGTTTTGCAAAAAGATCTATAATCTTTTCTATATCTGGATTAATGTCCTGATGAATATAAAATAAAGCAAGACCATTTAACCTGTCAGCAGCCATAGTACTTCTTGTATAGTTATTTAATCTTCGCAAAGCAGAGAACGACCTCTCACACTCACAAGGAGTGACTGGAATAGTACCTAAGATCTTTAACAATACTTTTATGTTCTCAAAACCTGGGAAATTTACCTGTAAGATATACCATATGGATGAGCCTTAGTTGTCATGCTTGTCTCATTGGGACCAGAAGGTGTAAACCTCAACTTTGTTTGCATACTGGGCTTTTTAGCTTGTGACAAGTGACATTTTTTTACACTCATCTACAGTCATCTACATACATATACAGTCCTGTACAGTCATCTACAGTCATCAACTGTCATCTATTGTAATAAAGAGTCATCTACAGTTATTTACAGTCATCTGTAGTCATCTACAGTTAATTAAAGTCATCTACAGTCATCTTCGGTCGTCTATAGTCATCTACAGTCATCTAACCTCATCTATAGTCATCTACAGTCACCTACAATCATATACAGTCATCTACAGCCATTTACTCACATCTATAGTCATCTACAGTAATCTAGCATCATATACAGTCTTTTACAGCACTCTACTGTCATCTGCAGTTGTCTACTTTCTTTTACAGTCATCTACAGTCATTTACACTCATCTACAGACATCTACTGTCGTCTACCGTCATCTACAGCCATTTGCACTCATCTACTGTCATCGTCTGTCATTAACCTTCATCTACAATTATCTACAGTCAACTTTAGTCATCTACTCTTACCTACTTTTTTTACAGTCATCTGCAGTCATCTAGAGCCCTCTTGTGTCATCTACAGTCATTTACTTTTATCGAGCATCATGTACAGTCATTAGCTGTCTATACTGTCATCTGCAATCATCTTCTATTATTTACTGTCATGTACACGTTTTTACGCTCATCTACAGTCATTTACTATTAGCCATTTATATTCATCTACAGACATTTACTATTTTCTACAGTTA